TTGTACAGGCATCGTACAATCGGTGTGTTCACGGCGTGATAAGCCTTCATAGAGAGATGGCAGCCAGCTACCAACACATTTCACTTACCTGTGGGAGAGATGACCATCACACTTGACGATGTGAGTACGTTGGTCGGTTTGCCAGTTGTTGGGCGTACCGTAGCTTGCGAGCGTTTGGTCCGTGATTCCAAAACGATCCCCAGTACTTTGATGTTCGAGTTGCTAGGTGAGTACCCGGACGATGTAAACAAGAAGAAAGCGGTCAAGTTGGAATGGTTGAAGGCTAAATTTAGCAAAGTGACCATGAGAGATAGTGCGGAGAAGAGAACATACGCCATTCGGGCGTATTTGTTATTTTTGCTCGGGTGTACTATACTGTGCGACAAGACAGGCAACATGGTAAGCGTTGAGTACCTAAATCTTGTATCTGATTTGGATCGGATCGGCGAGTATGCTTGGGGCACTGCATGTCTTTGCCGGTTGTACGATGAGCTTTCCTCAGCCTCACAAAAATCAACGAACTCGATGGCTGGCTGGTTGACGCTCTTTCAGTCATGGATTTACGAGCACTTTCCTTATTTGGCGGGTGGCACATTGAAGACGGAATTCGAGGGGCCATTAGCGAGCCGATGGGAGCCTCAGTCAAAGACTACTTCAACGCCTGAACGAGCGTCGTACCTGCGATCTCGATTAGATGATTTGATCCCCGATCAGGTAACATACCAGTTTAATAATTTGTTATTACTACTTAAGTAGGTTTTTAAATCTAATTTTTTATTTATTTTACTAGGTTTTATGGTCACCGTATACGGCTATTCGTGATCGTTTTCCGATGCCAGATTCTGCTTGGTTTAGTGGGATGATATGTTGCATGGACCACTTCGAGGCATATCATCCGGACAGAGTGTTGAGGCAGTTCAACCGGGTGCAAATCATTCCAGGTCGTGCATACATGTCAAAAGATATGTACAAAGCTCTAGTTAGCAAAGGTCGACCGGTCCAGAACTCAATTTTCGTTGCGTACGGCGAACGATTCTCTGATCGGTGGGAGGAGTATTGTCTGGACGAGGAGTCGAGGTCCGTTGAAATTGAACTCGGGGAGGCGGACACTTCGCCGGACTACATGAATTGGTTCCGACCCAGATGCATGTTACAACTGAGTAGGCATGGAGCCCATCCACCTCGACCCCAGGCGGATCGACCTCGACCCCATGAAGCTCGTCCAGAGGGTGGTACCGATAAGGAGGTCCAACTTTCACAAATTTTGGAGTTGGTGAAGGGTACACTTAGCGAGGTGCGGGGACTTGCGCCATCCGACGCTCATACGGTCATGTGGGGGACCCTAAATGATATTGTCAGATCGATCGAGCCGGATGCCCCACTTCCACCTCCTTCGAGCTCGTCGGATGCCCCACCACCACCTCCAGGTAGCTCGATAGGGCCAATTCCACCGCCATCGAGCTCGTCCGATGCCCCACAGGCGGGTGTGAAACGCGTGTTTAGTAGGAAGAAAAAAACACAGGATTAGTCTTGTA